TTTATCACCCGATCGACCTGGCGGTTATAACTGCCATCCGCGCATCTCTAGTGTCTACACTACAGGTTCTTGCATCTGGCTCTTTCCAGAACCCCATTGCAGGCGTCTCAGGGCTCTCACAGTCATCCAACAGCAGGGCCATGTGCCGCAAATTGCGCTCAGCTGCCAAACTTTGTGGGCGTGTTAGCGCCGGCATATGATTAGAGCAAATTCTTTTGAGGATAAGGCGCTAAAACAGGGCAGATTGCGTGAGCTAATTCTGCGCAAATAATGGCGCTATTAGCAGGAGCAATCCATTCTTTGTGGATCTGGCCCACTGTCTTTTACAAAACCACAGACTGAATATGTATCTTTATATACAGTCTGTCTACAAAACATTACGCAGTATCAATGTCACATCTTATGCTGAGTTGATTATGAAGAGCCCCAAAATCATCTACCCACGATCAAGCGAATCAAATGTGAGATTGTGATTATCCATACAGATTTAAATAAGATACTGTGTAAATGTAATAGCTGAACATTTTGAAAAATATGCTTAATCTTTTTCTTTCTTAGAATTATGTTTTCCTTTCACTCATTGAGCCTGAAGATAAAGAGCATCACATCCCCTGTACAGTAAAGCACCATAAACACAATATTGATCAGTGTCAAAATCACATTATCACAGTGACGGATTATCCGGGGGAAAAAATCACAATGTGCCCCCTGAACAATAAAGCACCATCATTATCATCATCAGCATGAGTTAATATAGCATCTGCCGTCACAGCACATGTTGCGATGTAAGATTACAAGAATGTCTGTAGTAACATTCTACATATTTGTGAATTTGGGTACATTTGAGGTTACATGAACCTAAAAATAAGGTTATCATCTCCTGGGGACCCCTGTGCTATGCCAGTGACACCGCCACCTTGGCACAGAGCTTCAGAGAACCTGGGGATGAGAGAGAGGTGGGCGGGCATGCAGGTGTCAGATCTGTGCAGCAGAGCACACGAACTAAACCACCCACACATCACTGTATTATCATAATAAGTATAATAATAACATCCAAAACAGAGTTTCACTCTCAGTGGTTTCTGTCACATGAGAAATACTATAAAATCAAGTTCTGTGATGCCACTGTTTCTGTGATTTCAACATAGCTTTGTTGTTCACAATGTAGAATTGTTGAAGAAAATAATAGGGTGCGTCTGACCATATATCTTGATAGTGAGTTTACTGTGTCCTTTTTTAGATTTTTCCATCGGTTTCCTGTTACAGATGTAACCCGTAGACAACTTGGGCTTGTGTCAATTGGGATGAACCTCGCTACTAAGCCGGCGAGGGTGAAGCAACTGCGCGTATGTCAGGCTCACTTCAGCTGCCCACAGATCCTGACGGACAGAGAAAACGCAATTTCCTCACTGCTGTGCTCAAAGAGAGATATATTACCTAATACCATTCTATATAACGATGTCTGTAACTGATTGTCTGTAAAACAAAGTGTTTGATTGAACTAATAGCCTGTTGTTTTGTGGAGAGTACATTATACACGGCCTCGTTTTACTGTCGTCATTTAGTTTATTATATTAGGCTAACTGCTAAATCCGTGACATGAGTAATCAATCACATAGAAATGTGAATTCATATGTGATTATGACCAGTCTCTGCTTTGTTCTGGTGGTGGGTTAGCCAAAGTTGCCTACGGGTTACATCTGTAACAGGAAACCGATGGAATTGGGAGCCGGCGATGTTTTTATTCCCACAGCTGTTGGCACCATTTTGGGATTAATAATAATAATAATAATAATAATAATAATACATTTTATTTCCTAGGCGCCTTTCTGTCACTCAGGGACACCTTACAATGGATAAAAGACAATGCACAGTACACAATAAAATCAATTAAAATAATTTAAAATAAAATTACAAAAGAGAATCACAAAAAGTACACACGAGTAAAAACAGTTAGATGTGGACAGGAAATGGGGTTAGTGAAGGGAAAAGGCGATCTTAAACAGGTGTGTTTTGAGTCGGGACTTGAATTGTGATAGTGTACTGATGTTCCTTATTTTGGGTGGAAGAGAGTTCCAGAGCCGGGAAACAGCCGATGAAGTTTTCGTTAGCCGTTGCTATCCTGCGCACCTGCACGGCGTGGTGATGAACTGTCTTATTGATTTCTGTTGCCGTGCTGTCTTGCGGGCCTGCACGGCGGAGTGATACTGGCCAGAAAATAGTCCCAATTGATAGCAAGGTCTGACGTAATGCGGGTATGTTTTAAAATGATTGAAATAGTCTAACAAAACACATGCATACTTTTTTTGTAGCTTAAAACCTTTTGGTTCGTGTCCCCCGTACATCTTCAGAACTACTTTTTCTCCGGTAAGCTACGGGCGATTTCTCAGAGCAGGAGGCTCGTTGAGAGTAGTGACACCGTCACATCAGAGCTACAGATGGTCAACGTTTCACACAACTTCATGTCCAAAAACCTGAACTATCACTTAAATTCTCATGCATTAATATGTAAGTAGCTGGTCAAGGTGGGGTTAAGTTCATCTACTTTAGCAAGAGGTATTAGTCTAATCTCTAATAATTATTAGAGTGTTTAGTATTTTATTAGTGCACCCAGTGTTTTATATGTGAAAAAATCACCAGAGTAACTAATAACTACAGCTGTGAGGAAAGTATGGTGTAGTATAATGTGCAACATTTGTCTTTGAAATGCAGCGGAGTACAAGTATTAAGTAGAAGAAAATAGACACCATCACATAAAAGTATTTTGAAATTTGCACTTTAATACAGTACTGAAGTAAATATACTGAGTTCCATTCAATTGCTGGAAGACAAACACACATGCATGTGATGTCTACTGAGTTGACTGTGATTTGTTTGTCCTTGGTGTCTCCCTCTTGTCTGCAGCTATGTGTGGGAGCATTTAGAGATGGGCTATGTTCAGGGCATGTGTGACCTGCTCGCTCCGCTCATGGTCATCCTGGATGATGGTGAGAGAAAAGAATCATCATATGATTTATATCTCCAAAGTGTAATTATTGTACACAGTGCAGATGAAAAATAGCCCCAGTAGCTGTTACAGAATTGAAGCTAATAATGCCTCATTTACAGTTTCTCTTGATTGCTTTGGAACAATTTTCTATTCACAGATAACTTTTTTAAAATAGCCTAAACAGAAAAACAGTTCAAGTTCTTTTCAAAATGACACCAACTTTTCCGAACGTATTTTTGGTGGTTCTCACTAAAACAGCTTGCAGGTGCTGGGAAGGGTTCTTATCAACATGTAAATATCAACACTTGTATTCTCTGGTGGACCTTAGTGCTACACTGAAGGCCTTTCCTTCACACTGGTGACTCTCTGTACAGTCATCTGAAGGCAGCAGGAATGTGTTCCATCTGCTGGATAGAAGCCAAAACGGAAAGTGCCCCCCATTCACCACCACCACCACCACCCCTGTGCTTTTGGGCACACCAAATGTGTCATTTTGATGAATTATCCTACACAGCTACACAGTTTCTCATTATCCTTAATCAAGCACTGCAGTTAGCTGCGCCCCGTAAAGTGTGTCAGGAGCCTGCCAAAAGCAATTTTGGTAATTTTGTGGCCGGGCTCCCTTGGTACACCTGTGGCGCACTTTGGCACGGGGTGGAATCAGAAAGATCAGTCCTTACCACATTATGTTGCTCATCACAGTCACACATCTACCTGCATTATGATTAATAATGTGCAGCTCCACACAACATTTTGGCCAGTCCTGTTTAGAAAAAGATAATGCTTGCAGCTGTTACCCTGGCTACATGGTATTTAGGATGGACACACCGAGTGAAAGAGAAAGTATTAAGCTGAGGGAGAAATTTAAAGTGATTCATATTTTTTTACGGCGCTGAAAATTGTAGGGTTCTATGCATAAACATGAAGTTCAGTTATGCAACAGCAAACATTGTCAGTGAACTGTCAGGTGAGGTAGATTTCTTTTTCTTTACTATGACATTATACTATCTGTTTTATAAGGTTGTGTCACCTTAGACCCTGCATATACAGAGACTGTCACAAAATAAAAAAACATTTACAATTTCATCAGTGCTTGAAATGCAATTGTGAAATATTATTTTCGTAGAGTGTAAATGCTGTCCTGACTACATGACCTATGTTCTTCCTCTGTGTGTGTGTGTGTGTGTGTGTGTGTGTGTCAGAGTGCCTGGCGTACAGCTGTTTCACTCAGCTAATGAAAAGGATGAGTCAGAACTTTCCTAATGGCGGAGCCATGGACACACACTTTGCCAACATGAGGTCACTGATCCAGGTGACGGATAACTCTTACTGTGGTTGTGTGTGTGTGTGTGTGTGTGTGTGTGTGTGTGAAAGAGAGAGAGAGAGATAGAGACATTGTGTGTCACCTCGATGGAAACTCATTGACGTCCTCTCTGCTCTCACTGTGATGTCAGATCCTGGACTCGGAGCTGTTTGAACTGATGCAGCAGAATGGAGATTACACTCACTTCTACTTCTGTTACCGCTGGTTCCTGCTCGACTTCAAGAGAGGTGAATGAAATACATCCTCAACACTCACACAGTTGTACTCACTAGTTGTACTGCAGTGTAAAGGTGGAAAAATAAGTGAAATAATAAATGAAGTCGTTCTACCATTTCAAGAAGTGATTAAATAGAAACATATGTACATCCTCGTGAGTCAACAAAGGTGAAACCATGATAACATGATGTCCTAATGCCTTAAAGGGATAGTGCACCCAAAAATGAAAATTCAGCCATCATCTACTCACCCATATACCGATGGAGGCCCTGGTGAAGTTTTAGAGTCCTCACATCCCTTGCTGAGATCGTCGGGGGGATCGGTTAGCACACCTAATGGCTGATGGCGCCCCAGACTAACGTCCAAGAACACAAAATTGAATCCATAAAGTATCTCCATACTGTTCATCCTTAGTGATCCAAGTGTGCTGCAGCCGCGACATAAAAAGTTGTTTCGAAAAACGTCATATGAACTCTGTTTTTAGCCTCACTGTAGCCTGTAGCTCTGACTGCTTCTCTGTGCTCCGCGCTCACGTGTGCGTGCCTGCTCAAAACCAGCGAAAGCATGAGCTTTGCTTACTGTACCCGTGTTTACATCACGTGACACGTGCACTGCAGGGAGAGACAACGGTAGCCACAGTTGCTAAAAGATAATTTGCACTACGGTCTTTTAGCAAAGGACAGCCTAACATGTCTGAAGACTTTGAAATTGAGGAGGAACAGCATTTCTTTGTTGAGCCGTATTTGTTTGAGCCCGAGTATATGGATGGAACTCAGGCTACTGGACGAAGCAGCCGCCGCAGCTCATGAGCCTAACCCTCAGCCAGCCGCTGAATACCGGAGTCGAGCACTGGAAACCTGGTGGTGTAGTTGTTTCAAATGCAAAGCAATGCCAACGGATGAGGAAAGTCTTTGCTGCTCAGACTGGGAATTGGCGATGCCTGCACTTGAGAATCTGGACATCAGTACTGACGAGACTGCTGCTCTTCGTGCATCACCGACCACCCTGAGCGTGCACACGTGAGCGCGGAGCACAGAGAAGCAGTCAGAGCTACAGGCTACAGTGAGGCTAAAAACAGAGTTCATATGACGTTTTTCAAAACAACTTTTTTTGTCGGGGCTGCAGCACACTTGGATCACTATGGATGAACAGTATGGAGATACTTTGTGGATTCAGTTTTGTGTTCTTGGACGTTAGTCTGGGGCGCCATCTGCCATTAGGTGTGCTAGCCGTTCCCCCCGTCTATCTCCGCAAGGGATGTGAGGACTCTAAAACTTCACCAGGGCCTCCATCGGCATATGGGTGAGTAGATAATGGCTGAATTTTCATTTTTGGGTGCACTATCCCTTTAAAGCATAGCAGTACAGTACATGCCTTATGAAGTGCTCATGGTGTTAGGTGCAACACTTTTGTGACATGCCTCCACCTCTCTAATGGCATTTCTCTTTGTCTTAGCTGCACCACTTGTACTTTTTCTGATGACTGAATAATCTCTGTGTGCAGAGCTCCTTTATGAGGATGTGTTTGCAGTGTGGGAGGTGATCTGGGTCGCTCCCAGGATTTCCTCGCAGCACTTCGTCCTCTTCCTGGCCTTGGCCCTGGTCACAGTTTACCGTGAGATCATCATGGACAACAACATGGACTTCACTGACATTATTAAGTTCTTCAATGGTAAGAATCATAAACATTCAGTACTGTGTACTATATTTAATTTTTTTGTATTTCTTACTCCTTACTATCCTGTCATGGCTGCCATCAGTTCACAAAAGACATTTACAGATTGTTGTGACCAGTACTAAAATGCGTGTGATGATGTCACAAAACAGTGTTTGTGTAGTGTAGCAAAATTTGTGTATACTGTATTTTCAGAAAAGGATCCAGGATGGGCAATATGGATAAAATCTTCTATCACAGTATGCTGAGATATTAGAGATTCAATTAAAAAAATAAGTTTTAGATGTATACATAAAATTATCTGTTTTTTCTAATCTTGTCAACACAGTGTAAAATCATGTCAATAAAAAACAATACTGTAAATAATAATGATAATAATAATAATAGTAATAAAACATACTAATACCCTGCACCTTTTACACCTAGAGATATTTAATGGGTAGGTAACAATCTCATTAATGCTATATAAACAGTTCAGCAATTTTTTTTAACAAATCTCAAATCATATCTATATATGTCTTCATATACTTCCAACACTAGAAAGGATGACTTTGTGCTTCCTCACTAAAACTGATTGTTAATATATTGATTTAATTTCAATTTATTTTTCTTTATTATTATTGTTTTTATAAATAGTTAGCTAAAAGTAACATGGATAAATTATTTAAATAGTTTACTGAAAAAAAATAAATATACTTAAAATACTTTACTAAATGTAATGCATAAATGGTTGAAATAGTTATTAATGAAAGCTAATGGATAAATGATAAAGAAAAGTAATAAATAAATGAAATTTAACATAAATGGTTGAAATTGTTAACCAAAAGTAATTGATAAATGGTAGAAAATTGTTCACTAAAATGAATGAATAAATGGTTAAAAGTAATGTATATATGGTTAAGTAATGGATAAATGATGGAAATGGTTAAGTAGAAGTAATAAATACATTATTCAAATAGATAAATAGTTGAAATAGCTAAAAGCAATGGATAAACGGTTGAAATGTGGTTGTGGTATAAATGCAAACTCATATATACACAAGTGTTCCCTAATGAAAAATAAGCAGCAAAAAGTACATTGACTTGAAAAAGAGGCAGAACAACTTAAGGAATGAGGGCTATAGAGTATAGACTCCATGCCCACAACTGCGCTGCATATCCATTATCTGAAGGCACTTGTATGCTTGGAACAAACTAGTTCATCTAAAGGGAAAATAGTTTCTACCTGTTCCAAACAACGACAGTCAAAAGTGGGATAAGGAGCCCATGGCCTTGTAAGAAGTGGTTGTTCATGATCTCTAAACTGTATGGTGTGCATACTTCTGTAGCTGCCTCTCCAACAGTGTGTTTGATCCACAGAGATGGCTGAGCGTCACGATGTCCAACATATCCTGAAAATTGCGCGTGAGCTGGTGCACAAAGTCCAGTCTCTGATGGACAACAAGTGACTATAGAGGAAGAGGAGGAGGAGGAATGGGAGGATGCAGAGGAAGAGTGTCCGACCCTACAAGACACTCAGCTCTTCCTCTCATCCCTTAGAGAGACAGAGTGTTTCCAGGCCTTCATCTATCCAGAGCAGGTCCAGGGAGTCCAGGTCTCCTCCCTGCCCAGATAAAGGCCCTGGTAGTGGCGCAGGAGCGCTGCCGGACTGGCCTGGCTCTGGAGCTTGGCCTCGATCTGTTTACATTTTCCTTAACATGGAATGCCCATGGTGTCCGTTCAGACATGTGGATTTGTCTGCATGCTTGTGAGTTTGATCGCACTGTGAACACATTCTTGAGTCTCCCCAGTCCTACAGAGCTTGTGTGGGTGCATGAAAACATACATACACACACACACACACACACACACACACACACACACACACTCCAAAGGAACATCAGCTCTATCAATACTCCAGTTTTCTTAAGTGTCACCCTTTTCCTGACTCTGAACCAGAACATTTTGGATGCTTGTCAGGAAGGCTTAAGCGTTCTCACGTGTTCCTCCATGTAATGCCAGTGGAGACCACAAGAGAGCAGGATTTGCATACAACATTGTCAGAGGAGCAGAAGACTTAGCCACGAAGAAGTTTTCATTAGCGACCAAATGGACTGTGCCAACTACCTTTTCATGAGTGTTTTCTACAATAAGCATGTGTGTTTTTACCCCCACCTCCCACCCTCCCTTGACCTTTTTTCTTTTCGTCCAAGAGTTCATTATCACACAAATGTTGCCTTTATCAGTAACAGCCCAAGGTACTGAGATGCACTTTTTGTGAGGGTTTCCTTCATGGTGCCTGTGAAGGCCTCATCAGAGTTGGTGGGGGCTGGAGGCGCCATAAGAGGCCAAAATGTCGAAGAACTCGGGATGAATTGCAGCTAACTTTCCTGAGCATGTTCGTCAGCAGTTAATTCATGTTTAATCCTTGTTCCAAGATGGAAGAAACATAGCAGCAGAGCACAACAGTGAAGACATAAGCACACAGGCCTTCCTCCATGCTGTGGTATAAAACTTCTGCATTTCTCTTTTGTAGTACTGTGGTTTTGTTCAGGGTCGTAGCACCCATTGGGGATTCTGAGGACATGGCGTTGGTGACATTTCTGGGAATTTGGGGCATGAAATGACCAGAGGAGGAATTAACATTCTATGATCATACACATATAACACGGCTGGTTTTTGAGGTTGATAATAAATAATCTCAAGCGAAACATTTAATCAACATTTTGAAATCTCAAAAGAGATTTAGTATTAGCTAATACCTTGTGGACTATTACCTTGGGAAATACTAATTTACAACTGTAAGACTTAATTTAACTCCAGAAAGTTTTATATTTTAGGATTTGGTTTGTTTTTTGTGGCTAGTCAGAGATTTCTTAGATGGGTTGAGTTGCACTGGAGGGGAATTTGGACTTCTGACCTCAGTATTTCTAAAAGCCCGGCTATGGCCCTATTCCAGTCAGCTTCTGCAAGGTTAGCTGAATTTTCAAATGACAGTGAGCTGAGAGAAACACTGACACACTGTTCAATAAACCAAAAACTAGAGTACTGTGGCTGATATGAAAAAGTAGACAAAACTGGCTGAGAGACAGAAGGTGTAAGGAAATGAAAAAATGAAGCATGATTAAGAAACACCTTTAGGAGTGGAGCAAAAGTAACAGATTTATTAAATTTACCTGTGCCTGAGGGTGGATATTCATTTTAGAATAATGCTGGCATTATTTTACATTTTTTGTTATTGTCAAAAAATTCCATGAAAAAAACCAAACCATTTTAACTCTGTGTAGCACTCAGCCTTATGTAAATAGTAAATAGTACACACCTACAGTAAAGAGTGAATTTGTTGGGGACTATTTTAAGTGGTGGTTTGTTATGCATTTGATACTGTACTCAAAATTACTGTGGTAGGTTTTCATTTGATTCTTCTCTGGGAATATGCCACCTTTCTGTCTGGATTTCTTATATATTAAAACGGCATTAAGTATTATTTTCTGTTATTATTCTTCTATATTTGGTAAATAATGTGGTGACACTGGAACAGTTCCTTAAAAGTACATCTTAAAGGTAGGAAATACCAGTCAGACAGAGTGGTTTGACTCTGTCTTTGACCAGAGATTATTACAGCTTCAGTGGCAGGGGAGGCATGCAGCCATGTCAGTATGTTGTTGCAGTGATTTGAGGAATGGGATTATTCTCGGACATTTAGTTCAAATATAGCTTTAGCATGAAAGGTTATTGTAAGAAACCATTACAGGTGAAAATCTGATCCAGTTAAATTATTGTAAAAATGCCAATTCTATGCTTAACCATACTGTATCCACAAGAGCTGTATGAAGGCATTAATGATTCAAATCAGCCACACAGTGGCGCTGTAATTAATGCCCAAAAAATGCAATTTTGGAAATGCCACACCCCTCACACTGTAGGTTGGAATGACTCGAAATTTGGCACACTTATCTGGCTTAATGTGCTCTACAAAAAGACCCTTGTACCACAAAGGTCCACCATGATGGAGTTTTTTGCTAGTTTGCATAATGTGAATAAACAGTAATATTAATAGACTTTTTTGGATTTTGACTACCAACACCACTGACTGAGTTACACAATCCTACTATATAAATGAGCAAGGTTGGTCAAAAAACATGGCCGCCATCAATCAAAAAGTCTTAGAAGGAAATAGGCCATAACTCAAGTTGTCTCGGAGTAATCCTGATTAATCTCAGTGATTAAACTCATATTGGTCTCATCTAACACCCTGGGTTCCTGCAGGTATATTCCCCAGGAAAAGGAGAGCAGACTTTGTTCCAGTAATAACCCTAAGCAGGACTGTGTATGTGGGGTGGTGTGATAATGAAGGAACATGCCACTCACTGCAGCAGTGTGGATCACAAATTTGATGAGTGTGTTTCATTGGTGAGTTTTTGGACAGCAGTGGAGCTCTATGGCACACAGGAATAACATATACATGACTACACACACAATACTTATTAGGATAAATTCATCGTTGGTTTGGGTGTTTTCAAGGGATTTGTTGACCATATAAATATATGAAAATATAAATATTACCAGTTTTTTCCTTTACATAAATCCATGTTTCGCCTTGGAACAAGAGTCAAACATGCCCACTGTTCTGAAGGACACATGAAGACTTTTATTGCGTTTAGCAGTTCAGGAAAAGTGGTTGCAATTGTCCATGTGGAACCTGATTCTCCTGCCTAAAGTCCAGCCTCTGAAGATAGAATGTGCTTGGAAGGGGTTGGTCTAAATTGCATCTGTGGTCTGAGAGGAAGCTGCTTCTCTAGTGTTCAGTGAATCAGTATTAAGATGCCTTTGGCTTCACAGTAACAGCACAGAGTACATTTGTGTTTGTATCTGAAGGGAATCTGGGAAATTTTTTGATACTGTTTCCAATCCCCCTTGTCAGTGTGACCCTTTATCTCCAATCTCCTTGTCTCCTTAAAATGTCCAGCACGGCTGCATATGATTGGTCATCCAGCACGGACCTGCACCTGTGATTCAAGTGCCAAGAGTCTTCCCCAATCCTGAAGTGTACTGTAGTCATCCGGCTCTCTGATTTGCTAGTTTGATCCCAGGAGCGGGCGTGGTGTGGATGTACCTCGCTACGGCCTCTCCCCCTCCACCACCTTGCCGCCACGGCGACGGAGGAGGGTTGCTGGGGGAAACCGGGCCTGTAGCAGAGCTTATTCTTCCAATCAGGACATTGTGTACCAAAGCCTTGAAACAGCCCCCTCTGTGGCATGATGACAATGTGCAATTTCATACTGCATTTTGAAGACTGACTGTTTACTATGTGTGTAAAATATTTTTGAAAATGGTGATCTTGGAATCTTTAACTACTGTGCAATTTGTTGTTTGAGAAAATCCATCAAAGTCTATATTGCTGTAAATACAAACCAAAAGCCCAATATTTCTATGAAGACAGTCAGAACATATATTACTTATTTTGAGATCTATTTTTTATGTTGGTTTTAGCAGCACTAGTTGGAGGTGTATACTGTGCAGAAATGCAGAATGTGTGCAGACTATGTTACACGTTGACTGTTAAGTGTTCTTTCTCAATGTTGTGCACTGACTTTAAGATTTCAAATTTCTATTTATTTAGAGAGCCAATGATTGCATTGCTGAATATGTATTGGTAAGGATGTATCATTTGCCTTGAATGTAATGTATTAATAAACAAGAGGTTGTTCATTTGCGGGCTGCTCTCTTTCCTCTAAGCTACGAAGAAGAACTTCTGTGACTGTACATGTTGCTTTTTGTTCATAATTGTTTTTCTTAAAGACATGAACAAACCAGTTTAAAGCTACTCTTTTTTTTATCACTCTGCGCGGACGATTGCCACAGCAGGAGGCATTATGTTTTGGGGTTGTCCATCCCATTCTTGTCAGTATGATTTCTCAGAAACACCTTGAGGAAATTCTTCAAATTTGGCACAAACATCCACTTGGACTTAACAATAAACTGGTTAGATTTTGGTGGTCAAAGGTCAAGATCACTTTGACCATGTGTCTATCTTATCCTCATGCACACAATATCTGAAGAGGGCCTTGGGGGAATTTCCTCAAATGCCACACAAACCTCACACAAGCTGAGTCAACCATTTTTTGGTGGTCAAAGGTCACTGTAATCTTACAAAACATTTCTTTGGCCATAACTCAACAATCCATATGCTACTTATGACAACCTTTCCCGCAAATGTCTAATAGGATAAAATAAAAAACTAGCCATTTTTCAGTTCCATAACCCAGGAACAGAAGGGGAAACATTTGGTCAGATACTGAATTATGCCCTGTTTCCACCAAACACTTTCAGTATAGTACCTCTGGAACTAAAAGTAACCCTTCAGACATGGCACCTAGACCCTAGGTCTGTTAAGCGTTTCCACCGCAAACAGTACTCTTAAATGTGGGCGGGGTTGTTGTTACTCACTGCCACGTCCAGCTCTCACTGTATTTCCTGTATTTTCACTGATGACACAGATTGAAGTGTGCACCTCATGTCGGCATGCAACCTGTTGACAGGATTATCAACAGGTTGCACGCTGACATTTTCAGAACAAAACAGAAAAGTAAGAGTGAGCATTTCTCTTGATGGGAAATTTGAAAATAGCGGGTTTAACGTTGCTGTAACCCACAGGAATGATGCTCCACAACACTTTTTTTTCCCTCCAAGAGCGGATTAGAATATATGCAGTTCACATAATCCAGTCGAAATCAATATATATTTTTAAACGATTGAAGGTCCACTCATTACTAAAAGTGTTTGACATTAGTTTTAATTGTCTCTCTTGGATGACAAAGTTGTCATATTGAAATTTAAGGTGTGCTGACGGGTTCACATTGTCAACTCGTGCATTGAGTAACATTACAAGTAAATGTTCCACCTTAAAAGACAGTCAGCCAAATTATTTTTTTCTCAGTTTACAGCTGCTGCTAGAGGCAGCAAAACATCCTTTCATTTCATAGTTATAGTTCAATATATGTAAGACTGGCCATGGTATGAACAGGGGTTACTTAAGCCTTAAAACCAGCCACAACTCAGCACTAAGCAAGAGTGAAAGTCATTCATTGGACTGCAGCATCTCTAGCTCCACCTTTTAGTACTGGATTTGTGCGCTAGCTACCCCAACAGACTATACAACCAACAATGGGAATGGTAAGGAACGGTTCCATTAGTACCATCCACAATTTTCCACAATGGAAACTGAAAATATGCATACTGAACTAAACTGAACCAGACCAGACTGCTTGGTGGAAACAGCTTTATTGACACTAATCTTGGGTGTCCTTGTGTGTGAAGCATCTACGTTTTAGAATATGTTGCATCTTTGCAGCAACATTCATATTTGAGGCTGACAGACATGGATCTAAACTGCATCTTGACTAGTTCGCAGAGGCATGAAACGGCAAAGCAGTAACTCTTTTCTGTATAAAGCCTATTATCTCTTCAACACCTTTCCCCAGCAGACAAATTAACATTAATTACTAGCTGGTGAACATAGGGGAGCAATGAACAACTTAAGAGGCAGTAGACTAATTCATTTTAGACTTTGTAAAAGAAATGTTGCACTGCCCCCAAGTGGCAAAAAAAAATCAATTTATCTAGGATTAAGATCAAAATAATCTAAATTATTGTGCAAATAGAGTTGCAACAATTAATTGATTAGCTGTAAATTATTAAATTAATCACCAACTTATCTGTTAATTGATTAATTGGTTTGAGTTATTTTTTAAGGAAAAAAATCTTTGATTCCAGCTTTTTATATATGAATATTTTCTGGTTTCTTTACTCTATAACAGTGAACTTTGGGTTGTGGACAAAATATGACATTAGAAGACGTCGTCTTGGACTTTGAGAAACACTGACTGACATTTTTCACCATTTTCTGACATTTCATAGACCAAACAACTAACCCAATAATCAAGAAAATAACCTGACAATGAAAATTATCATTAGTTGTAGCCCTCATTTCATTTTCCTTAACTGCTTGTGCTGATACAGGGTTGCGGGTGTGCTGAGCTTATCCCAGCTGTCATTTGGCGAGGCGGGGTACACCCAGGACAGGTCACACACATAGAAACACACAACCATTCATGTTCACATTCACACCTACGGGCAATTCAGAGTCACCAACTAACCTGCATGTCTTTGGACTGTGGTAGGAAGCCGGAGTACCCAGAAAAAGCCCATGCTGACACGGGGAGACCATGCAAAATCCACGCACAAGGGCCCTGGCTGACGAGTGGATTTGAACCTGAAATTCTCCTTCTGTACAGCCCTTTGCTGCAACCTCGTATAGCAAATACATTTTGATAAAATCATGTAAATTGATATTTACATGATATTCCACTAAAATTATAACATTTTCTTTACGTTCCCTGTCTGGACAATGTAGGTTAAGTCCACACAGCAGACTATACTGTATATAGCAGCGTTTGCCCAGACACCCAAAAATCAGCTAGTACGGTACAACCATACTGCTATGCTAGAAATACTCTATCTGGCTCCAGGTTTTATCTGTTGCTTTTACTTTGATTAAACACAGCTTAATAAGGAATATGCACCACAGTATAAAATCTAGGTCTTGAAAACAATTCCATAGAACCTCTTGACCCACTGTGAACATGGGGCTTTTGGGGGCTCCTGGGGGTCTGAGGCCCTGGGGCAGTTTCTTCCTTTGCCAGGCTGGTAATCCAGCCTTATTTGTGTAAAAACAGTTTCCACTTAACAATATTCCAATGTATCAACTACTGTCCAGGATCATGAAGCGTTCTGGACTTGAACTGCAATAATCAGGACCTTGTGCTTACTGAAACATTTTCACTTAAATGTTTCACATTAAGTTTCAATGTTCTGTTATTTTCACTCTCCATCTGTGTTTTTCACTCACCACTCAACCAAATATAACCACACTTACAACAGGTTTAAAAAAAAAACAATGTTTATCACGTTGATACTGATCAGTACCCATGACATTGCACAATACAAAGGCATGAAAAAAAATTAACATTAAAATAGGTATTGCATCTTTCAAAAGCTAATTCTCCATTCATAAATGCTTCTTGCGATTTCAGTCCACTGCAGTTTCTTACAACAGAATCACAGAGTTTTTTTTCTAAATAGCCAGAAATCATTTCTAAAAATCGATGAGCGTGATGTGACACGAAAAATAACAATCAGCAGACATTCTGTGGTTGTGAGAAGTATTAGTATTATTTTTTGTACAGTACATCGAAGGCCAAAAGTTCTCCTTACACGAGGCGCAGTAGCCCGCAGGAGGGGCTGACTCTGGTGAGGAGACGGTCCTTCTGTGGTCATATGACCTTTGAAATGTGCCGACGCCCAATACAGATGGTGAGATGGGTGAGATGATGTCCATGATTTCCTATTCCACTGCACCTCCTGTTCCTATTCAGAGACATGAGAATTTCTTGTCATGGTAAAATCAAAGCAGAGTTTCCACTGTGACTCTGACCAAACATTCAATGACTGTTTGATGATGTTCTATGACTCAGTCAGAGATATAAACACATGAGCTGGAAAGGGTAATATACTGTCCCTGATATAATTGCAATAAACTACATTATTGTCATTTGACATGACACTGACATAATGGTAATATAATTGCATAAAAATGCAAGTACATCCTTTCAAAGAGCAATGGATTTGTAATTCTTAAGATTATACACTGGAATTTGAATATGAAAAAAATACATATTTTTAAAAAAGTAACACCTATCACTTTATATAATGTCAATACTTTTTATGTGTAAAAGAAACATTATAAATAAAATTATATTACCTTTATGGATGTAGCACAAAACTAATCAGTTTGAGACTTAAAATATAATTTGGCCAAAATGAAACGGTGTTACGCCTCTTGGGACTAGTACAATGAACTTAGCGAAGCTCCGGGAACACCACAGTTACCTCCATAATCTGGCCCACGTGCTGCAGTCGCCTCCAAGGCATGGATGGCCTGGGAGCTCATGGTTTGCTGATGGATTTATGGAGTGGAGGATGAAGCTGTTGGAGGGTAAAACTAGATAAAGATGATTTTATGGTATGTTTTTTCAAAGTGGTTTTTCAAGCTAACAACCATCAGGACTGTGATTCTGTCACTCCAAAGGTGCAGCTGCAGGCTACCGCTACGCTACACTCTGAGTTTTTTCACTTTTTTTTTTACAGAAAAGTCAAAAATATACTGTGCACACCAGAGGGCACACATTTATTTTCTCACTGTAAAATGGGCTGTTCAGTACACTGAAAGGGTCTTTATAAAAATATGTTTTTAAACTATATATAGTTGAGTATAGTTGTATAGTTGAGTAAAAACTAGATAAGAGCCTTACTGATAATAATAGCACATTGTTTTATTTTTTTGTGAACGCTGCAACAGTGACCATGACGTCAGTAATATTGTAGGGACTCAGAATAATTACTTCAACATGCGAAAAAAAGTGCATGGTCAGGTGGTCTTTATCACTAAATTAAGAAAAGTTTGATACATTTACTCAACTACTGTATTTTTGACATTTGAGCTACTTGGTTTGATAATGTCGTTTTATGTCACTTTTTACTCACATTCATTCATCTATATCTGACATCTTAAGATGCAAGTTAAAATGTGAAGATTACAATCTAGACTGTAGATTATAATGTGTAGATTATAATACCCATCTGTATATTAACTCCACCCTCACCAACATAAAGATTCTTCTCTATGTCAAGACATCAATAATGCTAATCAAATACCAATAAAATATAGAACGCTGACACTGTCTCTCTTTTGACACTTAAAGTTAATTTTGGGGATAATAGTTGTGTAATTAAGAGCCACTGTATGCTGATTTAAGTGGGATGTTTTAAATGCTGAACTTGCTGGTATATGCGCTGTTAGTCAAGTCAATGATCACAATGCTTCTCCCATTACTGTAAGACAGTTATTCACCAGTTGCCACGAAAAAATACATCCAATACATCTTGAAACTTTTGCCACCAGGGAATGTGATTTAGAGTCCAAAAAATTATATCAAGCTATTTGCTTTTAAGGAAATATTAGATCAAGTGTTACACATTCATTTACTGAAATAACCGAGCCCCTCACAATACACTTAGACTGTAAGAAAAAGGCAAACCAGGACATGAAGCGTTGGGGGATGACAAGTGCAGCAGTGTTTAGGGGAGCAGCAGATGGGATGTATTATATAATGCAATACCAATAAATCTGCTGCACACCTCATACACATGTTCTCAGGTTACTGGCTGATCAGATCTCTGCTCGGGTTGAAGTTGGGGATTACCTGAACACCATCTCCTACACATTCGTAGGCGTTTTTTTTTTTTTACCTGAAAAGGTGCAAATAAGCTTACTAACAGGATAGTGTAAGAATGACACCAACATTTTAGCCAACAGGTGACAGAATAAACAGCAGAGTTTTCCCAACCACTATAAGACTTGGGCGCAGCAATTCTCCTTTTATTCTCTCTCTACCCCCGCCCACTTGTGCAAGTCCGACAAAGTGTAGCTTAGCGGTAGCCTGCAGCTGCGCTTTTGGAGGTGAACAGGCACAGTCCTGACAGTCGTTAGCTTGCTAACCTGGTAACGAGCCATAAAGTCTGTTGTTTGTAGTTATACCCTCCAGCAACATCATCCTCCACACAGTAAATCCACCAGCACAGCGCCAGCTCCCAGGCCGTCCATCCCCAGGAGCCGACTGCAGCACACCGACCAGATTATGGAGGTAAGTGTGGGGATCCCAGATTTGTTAAGATTGCCTGTTTTTAACAAGGGACATCACTTGGTTTTGTTGACATAATTATTAGTGAATCTCAAACTATGTAATCTTGGGTTACTCCATGATGGTACTTTATTTCATGTATATATTGACAGGCGTCAATTACTTTTTAAAAAATATGTTAAATATTTTTTTCATATTCCAGTCCAGAGGCGCTTCTAGCCTAAATGACGCCCTGGGCGACACCCCCCTATGGATTCGCTGCTGTTCCAGTCACAATGTCTGAATATGCTTAAGAATAAAAATTCCATTGCTCTTTGAATAGGTGTATTTGCATTATTACGCTGTATAATTATCATATTAGTGGTTAAAAAAAAAAAAACTGTCTCAAAATGACAATCATATCACATATCAAAATACTTTCTGCCACAGTATGTAGTCCAACAAAAGTAGTTGTTGAGACAGGGCTAGGAAGATGTCTGACCAGGCACGATAAATGATATCTATTAGTAAAGTATTCAGAACCTTACAGGTAAAAATACCATATTATACTCCATTACAAGTAAAAGTCCTGGTTTTAAAAATTCACTGAATGTTTATATCATTATATCATAATTTTCACTGATGGAAAATCATTTTACTGTAGCTGGTTGAGGTGGAGCATGTTCTTAACAAGTGGTATCACTTTAAATAGTTCAGGTTATTATGAGGTAATTATGTGATTCTTTATATGAAATGTTAATCTGTAAAGGAACTACTAACTGAGGCTCTCAGATGAATGCAGTTGAGTACAAAGTACTATACTTGTGTCCATCTGTACCTGTGTGTTGTGGTGATGGCACTCCTGCTGCTCCTAACTGGGGTTGGGTTTCTCTGCAGACTTCTGAATCTGTACGGAGGAACAAAAGGCAGAAAACACACAGACAGAAGTTACACTATCTGCTCTCAGGATGACAGGAAGCTCTGTGACAAATTAAGAAAATACCAGAATATGCAACTTGAGCCACCAAGGAGAAGCTCACAGTCAGCTGAATCATTGACTTTAACATATTTCTTTTCCTCCCCCCTCAATCACTGAACAAAGAGGCTAATTGTGCTGATAAAAAGGCATTATTAGCAAATCAAAAGCAGACAGACTCTTCTGACGTGTGTTCCTAAAACATGTAGAAAACAGATGTAGGTTTGTCTGACTACCAGAGGAGGGCAGAAGTGATCTTCTCCCAACATCAGGCTTTTAAATCAAGAAACAACAAAGCAACACAAACAGACTATCAAACAAAATAACAACTAAAGACCAAAAACATGAAGACAATTATGAAGCTGAGGCCAGAAAACAGTAACAGGCTGCGTTATATGGCAAGAAACTCAAGTCAAAAACAAGAGAAGATGGGTAAATGTGAGCAGATGGAAATCTGTAACAAGATCTTCCTCTGAGTTGCAGATGGTTTAACTCAAATCAGACACTAAAAGAGGCTGAAAAAAAGAAAAAGCTCAATGACAGGCAGAAATGTTACTGTACCTGTGATTGTTCTTTTAGGAAATCAGGTAGCTGAAATTCACCTTTAAAGACCTGGAAAAACAAAGGAGCAACTTTAGAGGTTTAGAGCTCCACAAATTCATTGAATTTGCATGAATTCATTATCTGGATTACCATGGTGAAGGTCAATTAAGGCATCATTCTACATGTACAAAAGCATAACTTGCTGCTTCAAATCCAAGCTGAGCTGACACAGCCTGACAGATGAATCCATCTCAGCATGTATCTGACTCAGAGCGCTCTGTTGTGACACCGTGTCGTGCAAGGTGAACATTTGCAACCTAAAAAGATGGAGGCTGCTGGACACATGCCAGGAATTTCATGCTCTGCTCCTGGTGACATATAGTCTCCCCCCCGGGGGGATGACATGGGACCAGACTGAGAGCTGAAAAGAGGCACAGAGCAGAGAAATGGATGGACCGGAGGAGGGGTGGCTGGGGGGAGTTGAGGATCAATATCCTATTGGACATAGTAGGGTGTCCACTGTCTATGAAGGGAATGTTTTTTGTGTGTCTGTTCCAGGAAAAGAAACTCTGGCTTCTCCTCTCTTGTTGGCCTCAGCCACGCAGTCAACACATAAGTTGACTACTCCCGGATCCTTCAGGATTATCACTAACATGTGTCTTGTTGTTTCCACAGAAACTCACAATATCTATACAGGAAGTCACCTTCATGTTGAATGAAAACAACACTGCAGCATGAGGTCGTTCTGTCAGCCAGAGATAGTGAAGAATGTGGAAAAGAGGTTGGGCCGTGAGGAACAACAGTATGCTGACGGATAGAAGCTGAATATCAGAGGAATTTAACAGATAAAGACATGAAACAGGAGACAACAGCAGCAGTAATGTGTTGAGTTACCACAGTCCATCAGGGGTCAGCAATGAGACAGAGACTGCTAACTGTACTGAGCAACTACAAAATTTGCCAAAGTTGTTTGCAACAACTGATTTACTTTTTTATCATACCATACGACAGTTACCTCTGACCAAGGAATCTAACTGGACAGGAGGCAGTGGTGACAGAAACAACAACAGCACTGGTTAACACATTATAGGTGATCTCCCCTGTTAATTACATTTAACGTTAATTAGCCAACATTAACAGTTGTCAACTAAACTGACATACATAACCAACATATTTCCACAAATAACATTTGAGTTAACTTATGAATCCTGAATAAAATCAAAGAATCCTGAAAACATCACTGCAAACCTCCAGGTTTGCTTGTATGACATCAGTCGATGCTGTAACGTCCTGTCTGATCAAGCTATTAACTCAGCCAAATGTGACTGCTGATCTTGAACAGGGCCTGAAGGCAGAAACATCATCTAAATAAAAGAGAAATGCATATGGAGCCAGAGTCTATGACACTTGTTACTCATATGAATAACACATACCACTAGCGACGGTCAGAAGGATCTTATTTCACTATCTGCACAATAAATGTAAAAGATTACAGCCAGCCTGCTGTAACATGTAGACCTACACAAAGTAGCAAGCTAATATGCAGGAACGTATGTGCTTGGCATTAGTCCAGTTGCTGTTTAGTTTCAGAACTGTTTGTATTGGCAGAGCCAAATAAGTGAATAAATAAACAAACAAATCATGATCTGTTGTCACCTTTTACAGTTAACTAATACATGGCATTTGTGGAGCTGCTGTATAAAAGCAATATCACTGGATTGTGTGCTTTTGTACTGACTATCAACAGGACTGTGATTCAGTTGTAGGCACGAGGCCACAGCACTCTCAGCACTCCGTCTTGCGTGGTTACAGCTTCATTATAGTAAAAATTTGGTAAAAGTAAGGCTGCTGTCGAATGATATTTTTTTTAAATCACCAAATTTCAAAAGTTAATGACGATTTCTCACATTTTTTGTTGCATATTTAAAACCGTATTATTCCAGAGTGTCTTGATCTGGAATCAAATTAATGCAAGGTTTGATGCCTTTTGAATGAAGTGGGTGCCAGTCAGAGTCATGTCTGACTGATTATAATAAAACTGGAAGAAAATAGCTCTGTCAAACTATAGGCCACAAAACAACAAAGCATGCAGCAAATGATTAAGTATATAACCAAAAGCCAGCACTGCAGAAACAAATAGACCGCAGCTCAGTTCAGTTCAAAAGGTGTCTTCAATCAGCAAACAAACAAAGCAATCTCAGTGTGTGTGAGTGTGTGCGAGTAAGTGTGAAAAATCGGACCTTAACAGCGTCAACATGTTAACACTGATGGCCCTAATTAAAAGCCTTCAAAATCTAAAACTAACAGTACATACTGATAACACCAGTGTAAAAAATGTAGTTACAATCATCTTTGTTAAAATATATTTTTGTTATGAAAATCTTGGTCCTTTAAAGATGTGTCCCAGGTATTTGTCAGTCAGATTTCTACAAAAACATAATTTAATCAGGCATAAAAGGGGTCAGCTGTATCCCAAGGACTGTCTCACTTCTTGGTTTCCAAAAATGCATAGATGCTGCTCACGTACTGATAAGCTTTCTATTTTTTAGTAAATTCATTCAGTAATATTGGGTGTGTCTTAACCTGAACAAGTCAATTCTGTAGCCCTTCTAAATCTAAACTACATGAGACTTATGGTTTAAAAATAAGTATTTAGATTAGCATCAAGAGATCTCTTAGCAACTTTGAAAAACAAAATGGCTACTCACTACGACTCCTGTGAAATTAATACATATTCCATCAGATTTTACCTCTGACATCCGTTATGTATGCTATTAAAAAAATGTAGTCACTGGGAGGTTGGCATATTACAAGGTTTAATAGACAAGACTACGATCTTTTATATTTCCAAAGCCTAATTGAAAAGTAACAATCAAAAACCCAAAAGTAAGGTTGTGTCCCAATTCTCACACAGAAAAACACTGGTTTGCTGTATGTTAAGTTTCGTGGTTTCTCAATGTTGTTGCACTGATTCTGTTGCTTAGACTTCCCCTTTGTGTCACCACCACTAACCTCAACTGCACCCAAAACATCCCAAACATCAAAGATAACCACAGGCAAACAGAGGATTTAGCCAGAACACTCAGGCAAAGATCAACTGAACTATTAAAATTAAGAATTTGTGTGTAAGTACTCATTATTTTAATATCAAAAAGTTGAACAATCCAGTTTGGAATGTTTCATTTTCATCATTTTAATGAATGATGGGTTTCCATAGGAGAGTCACTAGACAAAACACATTGAATGTTCAGTTTAATTTATTAAGATAATCAATCTTTCACTTCATTTAAATTCCTTTAAATGTAAGCTGGAGGAGTGGGTCAAAAGTCCTGTGCCCCCCTCCTGGGCTCAAGAGATTAAAACTTCCCCAAAACACAAAACTCATTCCTTAATTCCCCTGCGTGCCTTCATGCATGCTTGCGTGTTTGCCTGAAGTCGACGCAGGGCCAGAAACTGAACGTAATCTGAAATTATTTCCAACACCAGAGACAGAGAGGCGAGCGCATGTTTCTGATTTCCTCCTGGGTGCCATTTTGCAGCTTTCCTCCTCAGTGTGCAGAGGCTCTGGGCCAGACTGCTCTGAGCCTGTCCAAACCCTTTGCTTGGACAGAAAAAGAGGAGCACACAAAGGAAGAGTGGAGCAGAATGCCCTCTGGTAGTGCACGAGGTCACACACTCAGGGTAAAAAAAGCAGCGTATGATAAGGAAATGTAAAGAAGAGGCTGAGCAGTCTGCTTTGCATGCTCTGAATCAATCTGTCCTTCGGAGAGAGGACAGAGACGAAGGGCTGCCTCTGGGAAAGACCAGACTTGATGTCTGAGTGATGGGATCACTGCAGTAACAGGAAGTCAGCTTGCTCTTGTCCAGCTGACTCTGACCTCAATGTTTATTACCTCTGAGGGATCTGTTCAAATGCTCATGAAAGGAGCGATACTCATACGGTGGAAGATTTACAGCCTCTTCTATTGACTCTGATAAACCAGTTGAAATACTGCTCAGCGTGATCAAAGGGACTTCTGGCTGCCAATACAGGGCTCAGTCCCCAGTCAGCTGACTGACTGCCTTCCTGTCATTATCCCAGAGCTGGGATACCACAAAATGTAGAATTCAAGATAATTTCCATTATCTTTTAATTGAGATACTTACTGACTTTAGCAATAGCAGTTTAGAAAATGCTATTGAGTGGATCTTGCGTTATTTTACCAGAGCTTTTGACCACATCTCAGTCTTCATCAACAGAAGAGTTATAATTTCTTGGCACTATATTTTCTGCTAGAAAGAAATAAACATTTTTAAACTGGCTTATTAGAGATAATATGTTTTTTTGGAAGATAAAAAATGAGGAGTTTTAAGGAGAGCTTATAGTTTTACACGAGTTGTAGAGAATGAGCTGACTTTATCAGTAGTCTGACTACTGCTAAAATGAATGCATTACAGACAGAAAGTTTAGAAATTTATCATAATTCAACATTACTATTACCATTACCACCAAGTTATTACCATTTGTGATCAAATACCCTCTGGGAGGAAGTTACTGAAATCTTTAAAAGGTAAACTGTTGGAACTTTCCCCAACATTATATTTTTAGATTATTGTTTTTGTATTGTTTATTAATGGTAATTTGTGCATTTTATGTTTGTGTTTGCCATGTTTACATCTACCCAAGTCCCTAAAAAACTTAAAGTTGACTCAACTCTACTAAACTTAAGGTGTTTGCTGATCAAACTCCCTCCACTGATCAACACCAAGTGTTGGAGTGATTCTGTATCTGTAGCTACATAAAAAGCTAGTAAGTACACCTTGTGTTAAGTTGTGTTGTCAAATTGATTTTTGTTTTTGTTTTTGATAATTCAATCATTCTATGAAATGTTCAAAACAAAAATCCCTTGATAAAATAAGCCAATTTGCCTGAAATATTCCAACTCCCAACCCTAGCCACTGAAGTGTAAGGATTCAAATTCCCAAGACATCTCTGTAGGTGAGCAGAAACCCTGAAAACCTGCCACAGCATGCCTCAGCAGAGCCCAGCCTGGGAGGGACCAGCACAGTTGGGTCAGCCAAGGTGCCTG